CAGGCCCTTGATAATGATGAGCGCGAAAAAATCTACAGACTTCTTTATCATCAGGCCCCTGATAATGATGAGCGCGAAAAAATCTACAGACTTCTTTATCATCAGGCCCCTGATAATGATGAGCGCGAAAAAATCTACAGACTTCTTTATCATCAGGCCCCTGATAATGATGAGCGCGAAAAAATCTACAGACTTCTTTATCATCAGGCCCCTGATAATGATGAGCGCGAAAAAATCTACAGACTTCTTTATCATCAGGCCCCTGATAATGATGAGCGCGAAAAAATCTACAGACTTCTTTATCATCAGGCCCCTGATAATGATGAGCGTGAAAAAATCTACAGACTTCTTTATCATCAGGCCCCTGATAATGATGAGCGCGAAAAAATCTACAGACTTCTTTATCATCAGGCCCCTGATAATGATGAGCGCGAAAAAATCTACAGACTTCTTTATCATCAGGCCCCTGATAATGATGAGCGCGAAAAAATCTACAGACTTCTTTATCATCAGGCCCCTGATAATGATGAGCGCGAAAAAATCTACAGACTTCTTTATCATCAGGCCCCTGATAATGATGAGCGCGAAAAAATCTACAGACTTCTTTATCATCAGGCCCCTGATAATGATGAGCGGGAAAAAATCTACAGACTTCTTTATCATCAGGCCCCTGATAATGATGAGCGCGAAAAAATCTACAGACTTCTTTATCATCAGGCCCCTGATAATGGTGAGCGCGAAAAAATCTACAGACTTCTTTATCATCAGGCCCCTGATAATGATGAGCATGAAAAAATCTACAGACTTCTTTATCATCAGGCCCCTGATAATGATGAGCGCAAAAAAATCTACAGACTTCTTTATCATCAGGCCCCTGATAATGATGAGCGCGAAAAAATCTACAGACTTCTTTATCATCAGGCCCCTGATAATGATGAGCGCGAAAAAATCTACAGACTTCTTTATCATCAGGCCCCTGATAATGATGAGCATGAAAAAATCTACAGACTTCTTTATCATCAGGCCCCTGATAATGATGAGCATGAAAAAATCTACAGACTTCTTTATCATCAGGCCCCTGATAATGATGAGCATGAAAAAATCTACAGACTTCTTTATCATCAGGCCCCTGATAATGATGAGCATGAAAAAATCTACAGACTTCTTTATCATCAGGCCCCTGATAATGATGAGCATGAAAAAATCTACAGACTTCTTTATCATCAGGCCCCTGATAATGATGAGCGCAAAAAAATCTACAGACTTCTTTATCATCAGGCCCCTGATAATGATGAGCGCGAAAAAATCTACAGACTTCTTTATCATCAGGCCCCTGATAATGATGAGCGTGAAAAAATCTACAGACTTCTTTATCATCAGGCCCCTGATAATGATGAGCGTGAAAAAATCTACAGACTTCTTTATCATCAGGCCCCTGATAATGATGAGCGCGAAAAAATCTACAGACTTCTTTATCATCAGGCCCCTGATAATGATGAGCGCGAAAAAATCTACAGACTTCTTTATCATCAGGCCCCTGATAATGATGAGCGCGAAAAAATCTACAGACTTCTTTATCATCAGGCCCCTGATAATGATGAGCGCGAAAAAATCTACAGACTTCTTTATCATCAGGCCCCTGATAATGATGAGCGTGAAAAAATCTACAGACTTCTTTATCATCAGGCCCCTGATAATGATGAGCGCGAAAAAATCTACAGACTTCTTTATCATCAGGCCCCTGATAATGATGAGCGCGAAAAAATCTACAGACTTCTTTATCATCAGGCCCCTGATAATGATGAGCATGAAAAAATCTACAGACTTCTTTATCATCAGGCCCCTGATAATGATGAGCATGAAAAAATCTACAGACTTCTTTATCATCAGGCCCCTGATAATGATGAGCGCAAAAAAATCTACAGACTTCTTTATCATCAGGCCCCTGATAATGATGAGCGTGAAAAAATCTACAGACTTCTTTATCATCAGGCCCCTGATAATGATGAGCGTGAAAAAATCTACAGACTTCTTTATCATCAGGCCCCTGATAATGATGAGCGCGAAAAAATCTACAGACTTCTTTATCATCAGGCCCCTGATAATGATGAGCGCGAAAAAATCTACAGACTTCTTTATCATCAGGCCCCTGATAATGATGAGCGCGAAAAAATCTACAGACTTCTTTATCATTAGGCCCCTGATAATGATGAGCGCGAAAAAATCTACAGACTTCTTTATCATCAGGCCCCTGATAATGATGAGCGTGAAAAAATCTACAGACTTCTTTATCATCAGGCCCCTGATAATGATGAGCGCGAAAAAATCTACAGACTTCTTTATCATCAGGCCCCTGATAATGATGAGCGCGAAAAAATCTACAGACTTCTTTATCATCAGGCCCCTGATAATGATGAGCATGAAAAAATCTACAGACTTCTTTATCATCAGGCCCCTGATAATGATGAGCATGAAAAAATCTACAGACTTCTTTATCATCAGGCCCCTGATAATGATGAGCATGAAAAAATCTACAGACTTCTTTATCATCAGGCCCCTGATAATGATGAGCGCAAAAAAATCTACAGACTTCTTTATCATCAGGCCCCTGATAATGATGAGCGCGAAAAAATCTACAGACTTCTTTATCATCAGGCCCCTGATAATGATGAGCGCGAAAAAATCTACAGACTTCTTTATCATCAGGCCCCTGATAATGATGAGCATGAAAAAATCTACAGACTTCTTTATCATCAGGCCCCTGATAATGATGAGCATGAAAAAATCTACAGATTTCTTTATCATCAGGCCCCTGATAATGATGAGCATGAAAAAATCTACAGACTTCTTTATCATCAGGCCCCTGATAATGATGAGCATGAAAAAATCTACAGACTTCTTTATCATCAGGCCCCTGATAATGATGAGCGCAAAAAAATCTACAGACTTCTTTATCATCAGGCCCCTGATAATGATGAGCGCGAAAAAATCTACAGACTTCTTTATCATCAGGCCCCTGATAATGATGAGCGCGAAAAAATCTACAGACTTCTTTATCATCAGGCCCCTGATAATGATGAGCATGAAAAAATCTACAGACTTCTTTATCATCAGGCCCCTCATAATGATGAGCGCAAAAAAATCTACAGACTTCTTTATCATCAGGCCCCTGATAATGATGTGCGCGAAAAAATCTACAGACTTCTTTATCATCAGGCCCCTGATAATGATGAGCGCGAAAAAATCTACAGACTTCTTTATCATCAGGCCCCTGATAATGATGAGCGCGAAAAAATCTACAGACTTCTTTATCATCAGGCCCCTGATAATGATGAGCATGAAAAAATCTACAGACTTCTTTATCATCAGGCCCCTGATAATGATGAGCGCAAAAAAATCTACAGACTTCTTTATCATCAGGCCCCTGATAATGATGAGCGCGAAAAAATCTACAGACTTCTTTATCATCAGGCCCCTGATAATGATGAGCGCAAAAAAATCTACAGACTTCTTTATCATCAGGCCCCTGATAATGATGAGCGCGAAAAAATCTACAGACTTCTTTATCATCAGGCCCCTGATAATGATGAGCGCAAAAAAATCTACAGACTTCTTTATCATCAGGCCCCTGATAATGATGAGCATGAAAAAATCTACAGACTTCTTTATCATCAGGCCCCTGATAATGATGAGCGCAAAAAAATCTACAGACTTCTTTATCATCAGGCCCCTGATAATGATGAGCGCGAAAAAATCTACAGACTTCTTTATCATCAGGCCCCTGATAATGATGAGCGCGAAAAAATCTACAGACTTCTTTATCATCAGGCCCCTGATAATGATGAGCATGAAAAAATCTACAGACTTCTTTATCATCAGGCCCCTGATAATGATGAGCGCGAAAAAATCTACAGACTTCTTTATCATCAGGCCCCTGATAATGATGAGCGCGAAAAAATCATCAGACTTCTTTTGAGTAGATTCAAAAATCTACTCCCCCCACCCCACTTCGTCCTGGTGAGTTGCGGGAAGTCGATTCACTCAAAAATCGTCTGTAGATTTTTTCGCGCTCATGCACCTGGTCCCGGTGAGCAGTGGGGTGGGGGGAGAGGAAGGTTGGATCACGAGTCTCACAGATTAGTGTTGCGCTCATGCACCTCGATTTTTGAGTTGACTCAAAAATCGACTTATCACACACGGGTCTCACAGATTAGTGTTGCGCTCATGCACTTCGTCGTGGTAGGGGGGGGTGAGGGAGAGGATGGGGGCGACAATAAGCCTCGTGCCATGCCATGCTTCATGTCATGCCACGCTTTATGCCATGCCATGCCATGCCATGCCTCATGTCAGCAGCAGCACTCACCACAATTATGTGAGTCGCATCCAGCTTCGCCAGCAGCACATCTGCATCCACCTCCCTTCCCCCGCTCCCGCTTTCCAACACCAGTCACTGCCACAACAGTCAGAGTCATAGCAGCACCTAACTGGGGGAACCTCTTGTACTCACTACAATGATGTGAGTCGCATCCAGCTTCGCCAACACGTCTGCATCCACCTCCCTTCCCCCGCTCCCGCTTTCCAACACCAGTCACTGCCACAACAGTCAGAGTCATAGCAGCACCTAACTGGGGGAACCTCTTGTACTCACTACAATGATGTGAGTCGCATCCAGCTTCGCCAGCACGTCTGCATCCACATCCCTTCCCACTCCCCCCTTCTCCTCCCCCTCTCCATCTCCCCCTCCTTCCCCCTCCCCCTCCCCATCCCCCTCCCCTGCCACACCCTCTGCCATTCCCTTCACAGCAGCAGCTATCGCCTCTCTAACCCCCAGCTCCATAATACTTCCCCCTCCGCCCTCCCCACTCCCCACTCCCCCTCCCCCTCCTCCGCCCTGCGCGCCCCTTCCCCCTTCTTTGCTGTGCAAGTGCGCACCCAGCCCCACGAGGCGGCGCAGCAGAACGCCGTTGGTGCACATCCAGAGAGAGGAGGAGCGATTTCCTTTAGACTCCAGCCGGATCTGATACCCCACCGTTTGCCCGATCTTCTCCCCTCTCTCCGCTGCTATCCTCTCCGCCACTGGTGGAAGGAAGTGGGGGGGAGGGAAGGGGAGAGACGGGAACAGGGGGAAACGGGGGAGAGGAGACGGTGATAGAGGGGCGAGCGAGGAGTGCAGGAGGGAGGGAGGGGAGGCCAGACAGTCCCACAAGGTGGCGCAGCAGCACGCCATTGGTGCACATCCAGAGAGATGAGGACCGGTTTCCTTTCGACTCCAACCGGATCTGATACCCCACCGTTTGCCCGATCTTCTCCCCTCTCTCCGCTGCTATGCGCTCAGCCACTAAGGAATGGGGGAAAGGGGAATAAACGGGAAGGAAGGAGAGGGGAATGTGTTGGGGGGTCCAGTTTTGAGACGTCTCAAACCTCTACTTTTATCACGTGGGTCAAGTGCGCCCCCAACCCCACAAGGCAGCGCAGCAGCACGCCATTGGTGCAGAGCCAGAGGGATGAGGAGCGGTTTCCCTTCGACTCCAGGCGGATCTGATACCCCACTGTTTGCCCGATCTTCTCCCCTCTCTCCGCGGCTATCCTCTCCGCCACTGGTGGAAGGAGAAACAGGGGCGAAGGAGTGTTGGAGGAGGGGGTTAACTTCTCAAAGGGGAATATCTAAGGCAACGCAGCAGCACGCCGTTGGTGCAGAGCCAGAGGGATGAGGAGCGGTTTCCCTTCGACTCCAGCCGAATCTGGTACCCCGACTGTTTGCCCGAGTGCATTTCCCCTCTCTCCGCGGCTATCCTCTCCGCTTTTGAGTCGAATCAAAAAAAGCAAGCTTTTGAGTCGACTCAAAAGCAATCTGGTACCCCGACTGTTTGCCCGAGAGCTTTTCCCCTCTCTCCGCGGCTATCCTCTCCGCCACTACAAAATGGGAGGAGCGTGGGGGGAAAGGAAGGGGAGAATGGGAATGCAGGAAAGCGGGGAGAGGAGAAGGTGTTGACGGGAGTAGCAGGGAGTAGTGGGGAGTAGTACGGAGTATTACGGAGTAGTAGGGGGTAGTAGGGGGTAGTAGGGAGGAAGTAGTAGGGAGTAGTAGGGGGTAGTAGGGAGGAGTAGGGAGGAGTAGGGAGTAGTAGGGAGTAGCAAGGAGTAGCAGGGAGTAGCAGGGAGTAGCAGGGAGTAGTAGGGAGTAGTAGGGAGTATAAGGGAGTAGCAGGGAGTAGTAGGGAGTAGTAGGGAGTAGTAGGGAGTAGTAGGGAGTAGTAGGGAGTAGCAGGGAGTGCAGGAGGCAAGTGCACCCCCAGCCCCACAACGGCGCAGCAGCACGTCATTGGTGCAGAGTCAGAGGGACGAGGAGCGGTTTCCCTTCGACTCCAGCCGAATCTGATACCCTACGGTTTACCCCACCCATTTCAGCAGATGATTTACCCGAAGTACCATATATTCGTCTGGGTTGGGTGCAGAGCACGCGGCAGCACCTGCCCTTCCCCCACTCGTGATCCAGAATAAACTGGGGCACCTGGATGGTCTTGCCTTGCCTTGCCACACCCCGTCAGCCCTTTCTGACCCATATACACGCACACTCACTCACTCTCACCACCGAACTCTTCCCACACCTCCTGCTTCTAGCACACCCACTCAACCCGTTCTAATTCGCACCAAACAAACAATCTCAGAGGGAGAAGAGAATTACCAGAGGTGGCGGAAATCCTCCTGGGTTGGGTGCAGAGCACGCGGCAGCGTCTCCCCTTCCCCCACTCGTGATCCAGAATAAACTGGGGCACCTGGGTGGTCTTGCCACACCCGGTCTCTCCCACTATCAGCACCACCTGGTGCCGCTCTATCGCCCGCGTGATCTCCTCCCGGTACGCCATGATGGGTAGTGACTGCCGCTTCTGTGTGATCTGAGAGGGACGGATGAGGGGAGGGCAGGCAGGCAGGGGGGCCAACATCGTGTCACTTGGAGGTATCAGCACCACCAGGTGATGCTCTCACCGCTTGCAATCTCACCGCTTTTAATCTCACCGCTTTCAATCTCACCACTTTCAATCTCACCGCTTTCAAGCGCACTGCTTTCACATCACCCTCACCACCTCCCCTCTCACCGCTTTCAGTGAAGCTGTGCTCGCCAGCCTGTCTGCTAAAGCCTTCACCTGCGCCTGCACCCAAGGGTCCCCTCTTCCCCCCTCCATTTAAGGTCCCTCAACACCAGGCCCTCACCGCTCTCAACCTCACTGCTTTCACTCTCACCGCTTTCAGTGAAGCCATGCTCGCCACTCTATCCGCCAGTGCCTTCACCTGCGCCTGCTCACCCACCCAAGGGTCCCCTCTCCCAACACCCCCACCCCCCCCATTCTAGAATCTGAAGAACCTCTGAGCTACACTCTCACCGCTTTCAGTGAAGCCATGCTCGCCAGCCTGTCTGTTAGAGCCTTCACCTGCTCCTGCACCCAAGGGTCCCCTCTTCCCCCCTCCTCATCCTTCCCCTTCCCCTTCTCCTTACCCTTCCCCTTCTCCATCTCCATCACCTTCCCCCCATCCGTTCCCTCTACCCCCTCCCCCACCCCCAGTCGCGCCATAGCCCCAGTCACTTTCTCCTCCTCCTCATCCCCATGACCACCTCCGCCTTTCCCCCGTCCAGGCGCCCCTTTCCCCCCCCCCAGCCCCCCCTATCCCCTGCGCCCGTCCCACTCCTGCAGCAGCGTCCGCCAAATACCCCCCTGCCTGCATTGCTGACGTCATCTCCAGCTCCGTGGGAGGGTGGGCCAGCAGCAGCGCCAGCACAGCAGCTTCGGATTCTGACGAGAGAGTCAGGCTCGGGAGGGACTCTGCTGCAGGCCCGGTGGAGTCCGAACCTGGTCCTCCGGTGAGCTTATGTCGGGAGGTTCGGTAGACTGTCAGTCGACGGTTAGATTGTTTCCTGTGGAAGGCGGAAAGAGGGATAGAATCGAACAAGGAACACAGGCAACTTCTTGAATTGACCAAAAAAAGTGATTTTTTAGTTGACTCACCACCTCGGTAGACTGTCAGTCGATGATTGGTTTGTTTCCTGAGAGGATAGGAAAACGGGATTGAACGGGGAGCACATGCGGCAAGGTTTGGTGGTGGCATATACGTCGGGGTCGGTAGTCAGTCAGCCGATGGTTAGATTGTTCTTTGGTGGAAAAAGAGGGGTGAACGAGAAACGGAGGTAACACGGTCTGGAGGGTGTACATAACTGGGAACGATTTTTGAGACGTCTCATAAACAGGGGACACGGTTGAGAAGGTGTACATAGCTGAAAGGAATACTGTGCATTGCAAGTGAGCGGAATGAGCGCATTGCTGTACATGGAAAAACGAATCGCATAAAGTACTTGAAGTCTTCGCATAACTGTAGAATTTAATGCTATATTTTGAACCCTCTCATCCTCCAGTTGCAATAGCAATTTCCCGCATATTGACACACCAACACTGAACAGATATTCATACATATTCATATGAATGTATATATGTATACATGAAGGCCTATACATGAGTATACCTACTTATGTACACGCACAAGTACACATCTGCATGAATGAATGAAAGCATATCTCCCCGTAAAAGCACACATACCTGCGGCTTCTAGAGATGAAGCGACACCCAGCCCATCTTCCGGCACAGCTCATGAACCACGGCCCTGCAGGTTGTTTTTGAAAATTCTCACAAAAACCCCTGCAAAACAGGGGCAAGTATAAACACATACCCGTGGCTTCTAGAGACAAAGCCCATCTTCCGGCACAGCTCATGCACCACAGCCCTGTCGTGGTTGCTCAAATCCGCCTCAAACGTCATCTCTGGGAAGAGAAGAGACAGAGAGGAGGGGAGGGAGGGATAGCGGGTTCGGGAGACGCGAGGAGCACTTGAGGGACCTTACGACACAGCTCATGCACCACAGCCCTGTCGTGGTTACTCAAATCCGCCTCAAACGTCACCTCTGGGAAGGGGAGAAAAAGACGGAAAGAGGGGGAATGTGAGAGGGTTCATAAGAGGCAATCTACGATTGGAGACTCTCAGAGTTAGTTGGTGCACCACTGCCCTGTCATGATTATTCAGATCCGCCTCGAAGTCATCTCTGGAGAGAAAAATAGACTGAGAAGAGAGGTTTTGGGGATAGGCGAGAAAAACGAGGAGCAGGAAGGGAAAGAGGGGCGAGGAATAAGGGAGAAAACGATCGAATCAGTCTCAAATTCGAGAAAAACATTTGAATTCGTTCATAGTAGCCAGACTTACCTGGTTTTCTTCCGTAGCGAAATCGCTTGAATCTGGCTGAGCCAGTGACGCGCGTGATCCCCGCTTCCTCGCCTTCGCGCCGGAGGACATAAGCTTGGTCGAGCAATGCCTGCAACGAAATGTTGGATTTCCCACCTGGTTCGGTGCCGTCGCGAAACTCTTCGAGCCTGGCGGTGACGGAAATTCGCGTGGATTCCGACACGGGACGCATCCCCGCCGTCCCGCGAAACCGGTTCTCGCGGTTCTTCTTGTCCTTTGGCATCGTCGATCGCCTGTTAAGCTCCGATCGGTTTATTAAGGCGTAAACGGCTCTGATCGCTTCGCGACAGATTCAACGGCTTGAATAGCTTCAAGGCAGCCTAAACAGATCGGACGGCTAAGAATGTTTCACGCCTGAACGGCTTAGATTGCTTCAAAGGGCATGATTGTCCTAGAATGCTTCACGACAACGTAAGGCGGTTGAACTGATTCCCGTGTCAGGATTCGAGTATGCCACGCAGCCGTATCAGCTTCCGCGTATCACGAACAAGCAACTTTTATTCAGTTACTTGTTGGAAGAGTTGAGGGGAAGCAGACTGAAATGGTGGATGGGAGCTTGAGGGGTTTGGCCTTTCTCGCTAAGAAGTAGAATGATGCTGTTAAATCTGACAAATAGGGGGACGTTATCTACATTGAATGTTTGATGCATATGACCTAATGATTCAGAATTTGTGATGATGTTGTTGAAAAATGAACTTGCGTCAGATAGAGATGGTTTTCTGAAAATATTTATTTCAGATCTCCGAATCACAATGATAATCCTGAACTTAATCAATGACAAAAAAAGGCTTGAAACAAAACGGATAGTTCAGGCTGGTTTTACATGTAGTGAATTATATCTGAAATTTAAAATTTGGGCAACGAATATTGCGCGCGCTATAAGGGTGGAAGTATTGAACATTCGTCTTGCAACAACCTTGCGATCACATCTTGAACAGTTGTACACCCTAATGCTCACTCGACCGCCCACTCTGAACATGCCCCCTGCCACTCCATACGCCCAGTGGTCGACATTCACAGCCAACGGCCCGCGCATTACTAGCCCACGACAAAACCAAGATGTTCGAGTTTCCCAGACAAAACACGCTGGGCTACCCACAATTCTCGCAACTGTAGTTTTTTTGTCAACCTTTGTTCTACATTCAGTCCCATTCTGCCCCTAGTGAACGCATGCTCGAGAGAGGAGCACAGGGAAAGATGGGAAAGGGGACTGAAATGGGCATCATGTGTACCATACAATATTTGTTCAAAAGATTCTTTCCCTTGCTGGGTCTGTCCGTACAAACCACCCCACACTTCCCGCTCCCCCCCATCCCCTTTCCCCGCCTTTGTCGCCCCCCAAGGTCCCCCCACCCCACCCCTTCCCCTCTTCTTTCCACCCCTCTCCGCCCTTTTTCCCCCACACCAGCCAACCAAAAGCAGCACCACTTGGCAGTCGGCACGGCAACTTTAGGACCACTGCTTCCCCGTCAGCTATTGCTTGTGGGCATTGTTGAGTCAGCGAACGCCATCCAACCAAAAGCTGCCCGCATTACGTGGCAAGCAGCATTGGTAATCCGTCGATTCGTCAGATCGGTCTGACGCGAAACGTTTTGTACAGAACGATCGAACCGAACTTTCGATTTCGTTCAATCTGTTTTTCCATGACTGGGGAACTCGACGGTCGGGCTAGAAACTTTTTTTCCTACAGTATTGCTAGATTTTCTGCAACACTTCCCTACACCAACAGCCGAGTCAAACAAACCACAGGTTCGTGTTGGCAGGCTAACTCGTCTGTTCTTTAACAAGTTGCGTTGCGTCAGTATGTTTGGGATCGAAAGGTCAACGAGGGCGTTCGTTGACATGTACCCTTGTTAACTTTGTTGAGCACCAGACAAACTTCAAAGTAGTGATTGATTTGACCAGCATTTCCACTTGGCCAACGTCGTTTCAGCCATACTTGAGCAGCAATACATGTGGTTCTCCAACGCTCTGACCGCATCCTTCACTGCAGTTTCTCTGCTGGACCCCCCCTCTCCCATTTTCCACCCTCCCACCCACATCCCTCCTCCCCCAGTTTCCCATTTTACGTTCTCCCTTCTCTCTTTTTGAAGCACATTCCAGAATTTGACCCTTGCAGTTGCTGAGAGTTGCTGGAAGAGCACGTAGGGGTCACTACAGTACACTGCTGGTGTCGTGTTGTACTGTACTCCCTTCTGTTTAGCCTGACGCCTTCCGCTACTGATACAAGACACTAGTTTGAGTGATTTTTACAAGAGAACGAAGGACCTGGAAGGAGCACATCAATGGCGACAGGGACAGAGGGCATTGGCGCAGGAGGCAACACTTTCATCACATCCCTAAATCCCGCCGCCCTTCACGCTTACGTCTGCGCCATGGAGAGCGGCATGATCGGCAATATCTGGTCACCCACAGCCGTCGGATCTCCCAATGTTCTATCCCCATCCGCTGCTCTCGTGACGCAGCCGAACCGCAGTAACCCGAACATCCACAGACCCGCTACTAATGCGCCATGCGGAAACAATGCTGATAACTCGAAACCGAAGAAGAGCCGCGCTCTCGTGCGCCGCTGCGACTCCGCGTCGGCTGCGGAAGTGTCCCATGTGGTCGTCGGCGTCCCAGAGCCTGGGGCCGCGCCGCCGTCCCTCGGTACTGCCGGCAGGAGCAGGACGAACACCGAGGCACCTCGAATCGTGACACCGTCTCAGATCTCCCCGCCGGCGGCCCTCGGTACAACCGTTGCCGCCGGCGCCGGCAAGAGCAGGACGACGGCTCGGTCGCACAACCGGACGCGCTCCGTCAGCTGCATTCAGAGCAGCGGGCTCGAGTTCCACTTCCCCTTGTCGCTCGCGCAAGGCGCGCAAGTCGGCGCGCAAGTCGTCGCGCATGGCGGAGCGGAAGGACGCGCAAAAGATGCGATTACCTCTCCGCCAACTGGCTCTGCCCCTTCCGGCGCCGCAAACGACGGGAAGGTCAAACTCACCCGCGCTCTCACCGAGCGTAATGGCACGAGTGCCGCGAGTGGCACGGGGAGTGGCGCGGGGAGTGGCGCAGGGAGTGGCGCGGGGAATGGCGCGGCGGGGTCGCGGCGGGAGTTCACTCGCAGCCGAACCGCCTCAGAGCGTGTGGGTGACTTCGACACTCCGCTCTCTCCGCGAGCAACTACCCGCACCCGCAGCCGCAGCCCGATAAGCTTCGCGGCTTCCCCCGAAACGCAGCGCCCTCCACCTCTCGCCGCCCGCTCGAAACCGGATCCTGCGGCGGCCCCGCCAGAGCCCTCCGCAGCGCCCTCTTCCGCAGCTCGCCGTTTCCCCGATCTGTACCCAGATTGCGGCGATACCGATGGTAGCCCGCGCGACCCGCGCCGCAAGAGCGACTCGGATGCCTCCGTCGATGACCTATACCCCAGCTCAGGCGCTGTCTTTCCGCGATTTGCCTCCATCGGCGACGTTTCAAGCGCCGAGGACTCGGACACTGTCGGTGACGATAACGCAAATGGTAACGCAAAGGCCAAGAAAAAGTTGCATCCGGCGTTATCCCGTCGCTCCCGCTCTGCGGGCTCTCAGTCAGCCGCCGCATTGGCCGCTAGCATGGGGGTCGATCGCGGGGGAGAGGTGTCGGGCGGAATCGCCGGATCGCGCACGGGACCGTCTGTGGTGCAGCTCGCGCCGCGGATGGGCTTTGTGGATTGGGCAGGAATCGGTAGCCCGAAAACCGGCGGAACCGGTACCAGCTTCGGCGCCAGTAGCGGCGGCGCCAGCGTTGGCGGCAGCAGCGGCGGCGGCGGCGGCAGTGGCGCGAGCAAGCTGAGGTTACAACCGTTGGACAGCAGCAAGTCGCCCTCTTCCGCCAGTCCATCCCCGCGCTTCCCCGTAGCTATTCCCTCCCCTTCCGCCGCCTCTCCGCTACCCGCGGGACCAATGCCTGGCTCGCGGAGCCTCCCCCCTGCCGCTTTCCCATATTCTGCTGGTGCGCCCCCGCTCTCCCCGCTTGGCCGCGCCGGCACTGCCGTAGTTCCCCGCCCAACCCACCGCCGCGCCATAAGCGCCGCGCAGTTGTCCCCGCGTGTGCCTTCCCCGTCTGCGCGCCTAGTGCGTCCGCCGAGCTCGCCTTCTGTCGCGGGGAAGGCGCCAGGTGCAGCAGCGCACGTTAACGCCGCCGCCGCCGCTGGGGGAACCAGTCGCTCCGCGTCCGCATCCGCGTCCGTGCCAGCGGTCGCACGCTCTTCTCCCCGTGCGCGCATCGTGCAATCAACAACGGTGCCTTCTTCTGCGGCACGCGAAGCTACGGCGGAGGATGGTGGCGCATATGCGGAGAGTACCTGCGCAACTGCGAATCGCGCGGGGAAGCCAACGCCGATGCTGAAGCCAGTGCCGCGGAGCATGAGCGCAGAACCCGCGCTTGCGCTTCCCGTGCTTGCGCATCCCCTGGGACAGGAGGGGCAGGGGGCGCAGGCAAAGCAGCATCATGTGGGGCAGCAGCAGCAGCAGCAACAGCAGCAGCAGCAGCAGCAGCAGCAGCAGCAGCAGCAGCAGCAGCAGCAGCAGCAGCAGCAGCAGCAGCAGCACTTGCAAGGCAGCAGTCGCGAGCATGTGGGGAACTACCGCCGCGCGGCCCCCTCGCCTCTCGCGGTTCCTACGCGGCGCCGCAACAGCATGTCCAGCATGCCGCAGGGCGACGCAGCTTCAAATTCCGCGCGTGCCGGATTGGCTGCGGCGAATGGCGGCGTGCGTATCGGAAGCGCTAGGGGGCAGGGTTCACCAGGCGCAGGCGCATGGCCCGCGCGCAGCCCTGTGGGGACGGCTGGGGGAAGGTTGGAGGGAACTAGTGGCGAAGGTCGTACAGATGTAACTGGAGGGAATTTGATTTCGCAGCAGCCACGCGTCCGGGGGGGTGCAAAAGGGCCTGATGCTACTACTTCGCCTGAGCTTTCGCCTAACAGTGCTGCGGCCGTCGCAGTAGCAAGCGCTGCGATTGGTCGAGCGGGGGGAACGCTTTCGCAAAGCCTACCCACGCGAACAACCAACTCCGCCCAACCTCCCGCGCGGTTCACCCTCGGTTCCGCACCGAACAGCCCAGCCGAACGCTCGCGGCCCGGCCAGACCGAAGCTGCAGGCTCGACATCGAAGCTCACGAACGCAGCAGCTCGGTTGGGCGCAACGGCGAAGAATTTCACGAGTGGTGTTACAAGTGTAACAGGTAAATCAAAAGTTGGAATTTCAGGCTCCAATATAAATCCATCAGACATGCTTTCTCCTCCCAGCCTTATAACCAAGCTCCCAACTGCCAGCGCTCCCAGAGTATCACCTCCCCCACTTGCTCCTAGCCCTCCCCGTTCCTCGCCTCCCCCAGTAGCACCCGCGCCAGCAGGAGATAGCTGCAAGGAGCAACAGGTGGGTTACAACGGCCAGTGTCTCTCACAGCAGCAGCAGCATTTGAAGCAGAGGCAGCAGGCGGCGAGCAGGAGAACCTACAGCGTGGATTTTGACTTCGGGAGAAGCAAATTCAGCAGCAGTAGCACCACCACCACAACCGCAAACAGCACCAGCGCCAACAGCACCAGCAGCAGCGGAAGCAGCAGCGGCAGCAGCAGCAGCGCCAGCAGCACCAGCAGCAGCAGCGGCATCGCCAGCACCGGCAAGAGTCCTGTGAGGGCGAGTGGCAGGGGGGGAGCCGTGATTCTAACGAGCCCGTGCCCCAGCCCGTCCCGCGCACAGGTTGTGCTTATAGACGGAGTCCCCATGCCCCTCCGCAGCGCCCTCAAGAGCCCCAGCATCGACATCGGCCTTGGGAATACCGGGGTAAACCTTGGGAATACCGTGGGAAGGAGCTCTAGTGTTAGCCCTATTTTCCGCCATGCGTCGCCGCTGGTAGCGAAAGGGGGAGGCGGGGGGAGCAGTGGGGAGAAAGAGGGGAGCGAAGGGAAGGCGGGGAATGAGGGGAAGGAGGGGGAGGGAGGGAGGGTGCTGCACCCCCAGGCGCAGAATAGTCCGAGGAGGGTGAGCTTTAGTGGGTATGTGGAAGTGCAGGAATTTGTGAGGGATAGCGAGGGGCGGGGGAGAACGAGAGGGCGATAGGAAGGGGAAGGGGAGAACACGAGGGCGGTAGGGGAAGGTGAACTTCCGGATATCCAAGGTTCTTACTGGAGTGGAATGAAGTCCGAGGAGGGTGAGCTTTAGTGGGTATGTGGAGGTGCAGGAATATGTGAGGGAAGGCGAGGGGAGGGGGAGAACTAGGGGGCGTTAAGGAGGTGGGATTTCTGAGGAGCTTTATGTGAGGGGAGGGGGAGAGTGTGGGGAGGGGGAGAGGTGGGGAGGGGGAGAGGTGGGGAGGGGGAGAGGTGGGGAGGGGGAGAGGTGGGGAGGGGGTGAGTGAGGGGATGGTAGAGAGTGAGTAGGAAGTTACCCGCTCATGAGTAAGTAGAGCGTTCACGTGAGCGAGTGGTATGGAGGGCCAGGGATGGAGGGCCAGGGTTGGGGAGGCAGGGTTGGGGGGGGCAGGGTTGGAGGGGCAGGGTTGGAGGGGCAGGTTTGGAGGGGCAGGTTTGGAGGGGCAGGGTTGGGGGGCCAGGGTTGGAGGGCCAGGGTTGGAGGGCCAGGGTTGGCGGGGCAGGGTTGGAGGGGCACGTTTGGAGGGCCAGGGTTGGAGGGGCAGGTTTGGAGGGCCAGGGTTGGAGGCTCAGGAGTGATATATCTGCCATGCAGTGAGAGGTGATGCAGAGAGAGGTGGTGCAGAGCTGTGGAGAGATGCTTTATGCCTTGTAGCTTGATGGCGATACAACTTCTGACAGTCTGAAGCCCAATGATCTGATTTCTGACAGTACCGTACGTCAGACAATGGCGCAAATGACAGTGTGATACCGTGATACCTGTGGTGCGGAGGAGTGCATTTGGTTATTGGCGCTCCTTTTATGTTTACCGTATCATCCTCCTCGTCTTGGACTCGGCCTAATGTGTCATGTTGGGTCATCTTCGTGCTGTTGAGCAGCGCACGCTTCTTTTTTTATCTTATCTCCCTTTTTTTCCCCTTTTTTCCCCCTTCTTTAATTTGGAGGGGCAGTTGTTTTTAGTACATGTCTCCTGTCCCGTGCCTGCTTGCCAGTGCCCTGAGCAGTGCCTTGTTGATTTCCTTTCTTTTTTTTTCAAAACTGATATTGATATAGATGGTACACAAGCCTTTTTCCTCAAAGGCACCGCACTTCACCACATTGTCTGTGGCACCAGGCGAATCACTGCATACACACACACCCCCTTGCATGCGTGACATGACATGCTGTATGACTGCAGTGCTGAGCTGACCAAGAGAGCAGGTTTTACTACAAGGCGTATTTTGCCACAAAGTAAAGCGCAAGTGGCAGCAGCCTCATCAATCCATGCACGAACGTCCCAACAGCAGCAGCCTTCCTCACACACCCCCTCGCATGCTGCGGCAGACTCCCCCGGCCGCCCACAAGCCGCACTCTCAGCACCACACACGCCACCCACAGCGGCACCCCGTCCACCATACAGCACGCCCCGGTAACCGCTACAATATACCTGGTGTCCCCCATCGGCTGGGAGAAAAACAGGCTGATTCCGAGAAGTAAAGGCGGCCAGACGGCTAGTAGAGCCGTCCACCATTCACGGCCTTTGCAGTTCCAGGTGCTTAGGAGAGTGAGGAGCTCGCAGAGGGAGCGGGCGAGGAGGTAGGATGCGATGGGGGTGGTGAGGGAGGTGGAGGGGGAGAAGAGGTAGAGGGCTGCTAGGAGGGATGCTGTTGAGAGGTCTGCAGAAGCATAGCATGCTGCTTGCTTGCACTCTTTCCCCTGCTGTGATGGGGGAAAAGAAGAGGGGGGAATGGGGGAGGGAAGGGAGACAGCCAGGGAAAAAGGTGGGGGAGGGGCGGAGGGAGAGATGGATGGAGGGTGAGGAGCTCGCAGAGGGAGCGGGCGAGGAGGTAGGATGCGATGGGGGTGGTGAGGGAGGCGGAGGGAGAGAAGAGGTAGAGGGCTGCTAGGAGGGATGCTGTTGAGAGGTCTGCAGAAGCATGGCATGCTGCTTGCTTGCACTCTTTCCCCTGCTGTGATGGGGGGAGGGAGAGGGGATGGGGGAAAAGAGTGGGGAGGGTGGGGAGAAAAGTGGGGGCCAGAGGTAATAGGAGGCGATGTGAGTGGTGAGGGAGATACTAAGTTACGGAGCAATGAAGGGCCGTAGCAATGACAGCAGCATGAACGTACCAGGAGCAGCCAGAGCACGAAGCAGTAAGAACCCAGCACCACGCCTCTCCCTCCCAGCACACCCATAACCGCCAGCCACACAGTCCCGCTGGTTCCCTTAGCAGTCGTAGGTCCCTCAGTAACCATAGGAGCCCAGAACAGCAGAGAGAAGAGCACTAGTCCAGCAGCAGTAACCGCCATGGCTAGGAGGAGAAGCAGCCACACGTATTCCACCATTTTCCCCATGGGTATTCTTCCTGGTAACCCTGGGATGGCGAGGGTATCTTCCGGTTTCCACCTGTGGGTTCTTGAGCGAGTTTCTTTCCAGGTGCGCCCGTCATCCCAGTCCCCGAACCACTGGACCGTTTTGGATGGGTCCAGAACGATTTCCGAGCCTAACAGTGGGTGCAGAGTGGTGGGATCCGGTGCAGCGCTGTTGTGTAGTGGTTCGCATGGGTGTTCGCATGGCTGTGGTGAGCGCTCACAGCTGGTGTGTAGCAGCTGCGGCCTCTGGTTCTCGATATAAGCTGCCTCGTTTGTATCACAGGGCTCCATGAGAATACCAGCCTTATTGCCAGGGTAGGGTAGTAACGTCACAGGAGCACCCCAATCCACAGTAGTGTTGTGAGTGACCTGCCTAGCATTGACTGCAGCACTAGCAGCAGCAGGTGGGTCTATGCCCCTGCTATTCCTGCTGCTGCGGTTGGTGTTGCCACTGCTGCTCCCACCACCACTACTGCCACTGCTCATGTTATTGTTGTTGTTGCTGCCTCCCACACCAAGCCTGCTGCTTCTGCTGCCTCTGCTGCTTCGGTCGTTCACACTGGCGTTTCTGGCAGGGCTGTTGCTACCTGTGCTGCTTGCGCCTAGCAAAACCAAATATTCTCGGCTCACTTCACCCATGCGTTCACAGCCACCCCTCCCAGATTGCCACGTGGCAGCTTCTCCCGGGCCTGGAGCAGATGTGATCGCTGACGTGGCGTCATCACTATCTGTGTTCATGGGTTCGTTTGTTCCACTCCCTCCCATGGTGGCCCATGCACCCTTTTCTGGGCTGATAGGATTTTGCCGGCTGCTGCTGATGCTGATGCTGCTGCTGCTGCGGCTTAGTGCCGATTTTGAGCGTTCTCCATCGATTCTCCCACCTACTCTCCCACCATTAACTGCTCTGCCGCCGCCGCCACTACTGCTACTGTCACCACCGTTTTCATCGACATCAGCATCATCATCATCACCATTTTGATTGTCTCCGCCGTCGTCGCCAGCGTAGCCGTTTTTCTCCTCGTCGCTGTCGTAGCAGTCGTGACTGTAACGAAACGGGCTGGCGTGCAGAAACGCGTACGGGTCCCCCTTCGCGGTCGCGCTCTGGCTCTGGGGAATGACGGCGGGCTGCGCCCAGGCGGAACGGGAGGCGGAGTAGCAGTGGAGATGCGCGGCCGGATGCGCGTAGGGGGCGGGGGAGGCGGAGTAATAGCTAGCGGAGGGGGAATAATGGAAGCGGTCTGCGGAACAGGGGAGAGGGGAACCGGAGGCGGAATAGGCGGCGGCGTGAGGGGAAGGAGACGCGGGGGAAATAGGCGCCGCGGCGGCGGTGAGCGGAAGATCGAGGCGGAAGGTCGAGCGGCGGAGAAAGGGATCCGCGGAAGGCTGGGCGGAGTCGAGGTATCGCGACATGAGCCACTGGTGCGTCTTGTCGTGACCCGCGCCCGACGCATCGGCGTCACTCACGGACACGGAACGCGCGTGAGATGTTATGTTGCTGGCAATAGCGGCGCGGCCGGCGACGCCGCTGCCTCCCTTTACGCGCTCAGCGGCTCCTGCCTCGCTTGGTGCACAGTCACCATTGATAGAAACCCTCGCGACCGCATGTCCCGGCGCATGTCCCGCCGAATGTCCCGTCGCGGCCCCGGCCGGCGCAAACCCGGATCCGTCGCTGTCGACTCGCGCCGTCACCGTAGCCACGCCTCGCGCGGCTCCCCGCGCCGAGTCTGCGCCTTCCGCGGTTCCAATCGCGACGCGCTGCTCAGCGCCCCTGTCGGTACTGCTGCCGCCGCCGCTGCCACTGCTGCTGCTGCTGCCTGCTTGCGGCGCGCCTTTTGCGCTGATCGCTTCTCGCGCTGCCAAAATTTGGACTATCATTTGCTCGGATTCGGGGGAGTCTAGATCCGAATACGACTCGCTATTGTCCGAATCCGAGTCGTACGCGTTAGAGTCATCTGAGGAGTCCTCGTCCTCGCTACAAGACTCGATCGTTACCGCCCACAGGGGAACCGAATTCCGCATCCCCGCCGTGCACCCTCCGCCGCTTCCGCCACGCGGGGGCCGCCAAAGCGGGGGGCGCCCCCCCGACGGCGCGATGCGCGCGATTGCGGGGAAGCATGAGCGCGGCTGAGGCGGCGCCAGCTTCGAGGCTGGAGCAGACCTAAAAAAGCGATTCGGAAAAATGCGGCACGGGAGGATGCGATTCCGAGATAATTTGCCCACAAGATAGATCCAACGCCTTCTAGGACCGTGCCGAGGCGCTTTATATTCACTAATTAGTAGCGCCGTGCGCTGGAAAACAAAGATATCTTGAAGATACGCCGGAGACGTGAATGAGGCTTCCCGGTAGTAACAAGCTTTTGGGTTGAATCCTAAGTACCTCCCGGCTTTATAACTCCCAAAAGCCCATCGTGAGAAGCACCTGGAAAGGAGCAACTGCCCAATGGCTCGTCAAGAAAAGCGTCACTAACGGGACGGGAGGGACAAGCAGCGAGGGCGGGAAAAGGCGAAACGGAAGCGGCGCTGCCTGTGACACGGCACGAGAGAGTGGAGAGACCAGCAGCAGAAGGAATGCCACAGTCCGCGCCGCAGTTCGTTCCTTTTAGCAGATGTTCTGGGCAGGGAAAATGTCTGGAAACCGCGTTGCTTTCTTCAATTCGACGAGCCGCTCACGACATTGTGACGCGGTTTGAAGGAAGAAGAGAGGATTTCAGGGCTTTACCGACACAGACAGCATCAGGTGACTGCGGGCAGAATCAAAGTTCTTCGGCACGAAATCCAGAAAGTCCGTGATAATTTTTTCGTCGTGCCACAAAATACGGACAAGGTCAACTGTGTGCATACCTCCATATATGTAAGGAAAATTCCTTTTCCTTACTTCGCGTCCCCGTTCAGCGCGTACACCACTGTAGCACCACAGTCAGCACCGTTACCACTCGCAACCCGCCACCTTCGCACGTTGCACCCCGACCTCACGGCTCGGCGGGTAACCCGCGCTCCGTACCTCCGCTTCGACATTTCCCCAAACCTCATTCCCAGGCTCGTCGCGCGACAACCACAGTCCATTACCGTTACCACGGTAGTTTCGCTATATATTCTTCGCTCATGCCTTCGCTCATTGTACTCTTGCTTCGATAGTGCAATTCTCGCTCGATCACTCAATTGCACTCGTAACACTTGGTATTCAGAGCCTACGATCTCTTCTCGGACCGCACCCATACCTTAGCTTCCTCACTATCTCAATTTTTGGAAGGGGGTAGACGTCTCTCAGCGACACAGCACCGCCGCTCGTAGTGCTCTCTCGTAAGCACGCACGGCCACGACAGAGGCTCTCGCTGAGCTTGCCCGACACCCCCGCCATGGCCGAATTCACGCTCGCGACATTGACGCAGGAGCAACTTGACCGTCTGGTGCGCCAAGTTGAAGAATCGGCCCTCGAAATTGCGACGCTCACGGCGGAACGTGATTCCGCGCGTCAGCAATCCACGATGAATACTCCAGCGCCACCACACGCACCGACAAATGCACCTGCACAATCGGACGAGCTGATCGTCATTTCGTCCGGCACACCGACAGCGTGGGACAGCGCTCAGGTGCAGCCAGTGATGGCGCCGCCCAACCGATGCCTGGCACGGGGGGAAACAGGGTCGCACCAAGCCCGCGGGAGCCTCGTGAAGCCCGTCGGCACGTGGAGTTCGTGGCGACAAGTGGCAAACAGGCCATTATGGCACCAATGCCACTCAGGCCGCAACGCCCGCCCTGCTTCGACCCGAGCCAGCATGGAGGTCCGACGGTTCAATCGTGGGTCTTCACGATGAACGTCTTCTTCGACGCGAATTACGTCGAGTCGGACGCAGCGAAGATCCGATATGCCGTCTCGCTGCTGAGGGGCCCCGCCATGGACTGGTGGCGAGTCATCGTGACGTCGCCACGCGCCTACGAGCCACCGTCGCAAGAGGAAGGGCCCACGGGTCCAGCCGTCACCTGGAGTTCATTTTGCGAAACCGCCCAGTACAGCACGTGGGATGCGTGGTGCGCAGGGCTTCGGGCGCGCTTCGAGCCGATCGCGGCTTCTATTTCGGCGCGTCAGAGACTGCGTACTTGGCGGCAGCTCGGGCCGGTTCAAGACTACACGAGCGGTTTTCTCGCATTATGCGAGCAAGTCGGCTACATGCACGAGGCGGAGCAGGTGGACCGTTATGTCGGAGGGCTGAAGCCAGACATTTCGCACGAGATCATGCTACGCGGGCTCTCGAACTTCAACGAGATTCTCGCGCTCGCCGAGAAAATCGACATTTTGCGCCGTCCGAGACCGGGGTCCTACTACGGACATCGTCCTCGGGGACCGATCGAGCACGCCACCGTACATGCCGTTGCAACGAATGCAGCTGCCGCGCCGTTTAAGGGGCGCTGCTTTGCTTGCAATAGGCCGGGCCATCGCAAGAGTGAATGCCCAGAGGAGCTGAGGCGCCGTGGAGCAGAGCAGGAGAGGGAGTCTCCAAGGCAGGGAAACGCCAGCAGTCAGTAGGAATCGGGCCAACTACTGACGAGACTGCCTGCTCGCCCAACCCCACCGACCCTCACCGAGTCACGATACCGATTCATGCTATCGATCGGGCTCGGACGAATAAGGAGGGTACAGCGACGGATTGCCCAGTACTGATCCACGGGAAAATACAGGGAGCAGCAGTGAAGATTTTTATCGACGGAGGAGCAAGTCACAGTTTAGTTAATACCGCAACCGCACGAAAACTGCAACTGACACTTAGCCGTTGTTTACCTGAGATAGATGCACGCTTAGTCGACGGCACGCCACTGGCCATACGGGAAAGGGTGGAGAGAGTCAAAGTCCGCTGCGGGGGAAATTTCGGATTTACACAGGAAATGCTCGCGACAACACTGGATGGGCACGACATTTTACTGGGACGTGATCGGCTGCGACGGTATAACCCGCGAATTGACTGGACGACGGGTAGCTGCACTGTGCGAAATAGCGGTAACTGGGTTGAGCTACCTCGCTGGCAGTCGCCCGAGTCTTCAACGGTACACGTCAACGCCGTCACCATGAAACGGGCTGTCGCTGCTGGAGCTGACGTGTACGCAGTAGACATTGCAGTAGTAGAAGGAGCAGAGCAGCCGAGTGATTTTAAGAAACTGCTGGCAGCGGTACCGCCCGAACTGCAAGAACTGTTGAAACGATACCCCGGGATCTTTCCCGACGACTTACCGGAAGGACTGCCACCTCAGCGAGCACATGACCACCGAATAGAATTAGAACCGGGGGCACAGCCAACTGTACAGCGCCAGTTCAGACTGACACAACCCGAGCTCGACGAACTGAGGAAGCAGTTAGATTACTTGTTAGAGAAGAAATTCATCCGACCGAGCTCGTCACCGTTCGCCGCACCGATACTGTTCACGCCAAAAAAAGACGGAGGGTTTCGCATGTGCATCGATTACCGAGCGCTCAACAGGGAAACAGTCAAGTCGCGGTACCCCGTTCCCCGTGCCGACGAACTGATCGACCAACTGCGAACAGCACGTTTTTTCGAAAATAGATTTACGGGGAGGTTACCATCAGATTAGGGTCGAACCATCGGACTGCGCCAAAACAACATTCCGGACTAGGTACGGGTCATTCGAGTACACCGTGATGCCTTTCGGGCTGACCAAAGCACCAGCGACATTTCAGATGACCATGAACGAGGCGTTTAGGCCGCTTTTAGATAAATGCGTGATAGTTTACCTCGTCTACAGTCGCGACAAGCAGCAGCACTTAGCAGATCTGGAAGCAGTGTTTAAGATTACTGAAAAAGGGTTCCAAGTGCGAGTTTTTTCAGAACCGGCTAGAGTTTTTGGGGCCCGTTATTTCGGAGGCTGGGGTCGAAATTGACCCGAAGAAGTTAGACACGGTGAAAGCCTGGCACCCCCCGACGAATATCACGGAACTACATAGCTTTTTGGGGTTCGTCAATTACGTGCGTCGGTTCGTCCCCGACATGGCACGGTTAACAGCGCCGCTGAAGGACTTGTTACGAAAAGGGGTCGCTTTTACGTGGGGGGAGAAAGAGCATGCTGCCTTCTCTGCCCTGAAAGATGTTCTCTGTTCACCGCCCGTCCTGCGCATCGCCGACCCACACCGCCCATTCGAAGTAGTTACCAACGCAAGCGACATTGCCATCGGAGCTGTACTGCTACAAGACTTCGGCAACGGCCTACAACCCATCGCATACGAGTCACAAAAACTGCATCCGCCCGAGGAAAATTACCCGATACACGACCGCGAAATGCTTGCGATCGTGCACGCGTTCAAAGTGTGGCGCTGTTACTTGACCAACGAACGAACGAGAATTGCACTATCGAAGCAAGAGTCCAACGAGCGCAGGCATGAGCGAAGAATATATAGCGAAACT